AATAAATTACATTTGCTCAAAAAATGAGTTTCGTCCCTGTTCATTTGAACTTAAAGTTAAAAAGAAGATAAATACTTTTCATTTCAAACCATTTCTGCTTTATTATCCTATATATTCCACAGAGCTCAGTGAGACGGTATTTAAAGTATTTTTGTTATCTTCATCTCTCTATTAACAGATTTCATTTTCAATTGTGAGTTATTTGATAAAAGTTGAGGTTAGTATTCATCACGACTCACATGTTAGATGTGTAGTGTACGGTTGTCTGGAACTGTTGTTACACCTGTGCTGTTCCCACATTTATCTGATACACAGAGACTGAAAAATACATGGAGACATGTTGTAATAGTTTGAATCAACACAAACAAGCAAGTGAAATACAGCATCTGTGGAATGAAAGATGTCCCTGTTTTTACTGTTTTGCTAAGTCTTTGAATATTACATTTGTACTTGCATGATGAATATTAAATGAATGTTGTATTATTACATAATGTGAACACATTTAGTGTGAGCCACAACAATACCAGAGTGACTTCCCAACTTAGGCTAAATCAGTGGTTCTCAAAGTGGTAATTAAATAATTAATTAATTTAAAAAAGTATTGATTCGAAAATAATATGATACAGTACAGTACTATTACGTCTGGGTCTCTGTGTTTCATTAAAGCTTGTCTCTGTGTGTGTGTGGAACGAGCCATTTTGTGTGCGCAAGCGAGAGAGAGAGAGAGCGCACCGGTACCGGTGATCGTTGTTGTTAGCTTCTGGTGCTAACGAGCTACGCTAACGGATATAAGGAGTTTTTTCAACAACAAAGTGGAGGAGAGTCCTCTCCTGTCAGACTGAGAGACTCAGTGAGCTAAAGGACTCTCTCAGTGTTTAGATAGTTAACTTTAGTCTAAGTTATCTCAGTGGGTCTCAAACGTTTTGGTCACCATTAATGTAAACAATTATTTCCGAGGCACACGTTTATATGATCATTATAGTTATAAAAAAATAAGAGAATAAATGAAAAACAGGTATGAAATACTATATGACAGTAAAACAAGAATAAAGTTTAAAAGGGTGATTTGTAAAATATCCATAAAGAAAAAGTCAATCTGTTTACAGTTCTGTTTCATATGGGTGTTGAGAGAGGTATCCATAGATCTCTTCATGTTGCTCTCAAAGTGCATCAGATTGATGCATTTAACTTCAATATTTAAAAAGAAATCTTCCCGGGGGAGTTTGCCACCGGACCCCCCTACGTGAGGTCCACACACCACCTATAAAAATAGCACTTTACCCCTGCTTACACCTATATGCCGTGAGCTGATTATCGAGCCTTCATTGTAACAGTCGCGGGTACATTGTGTATTTGCGCGGGGATTGTTGCAGTAGAAAATTCAACTGTAGCAACCGGTACATTAATGGGAAACCCTAAATGTTTGAGCACCCTCTATGAAACGTCAAGCTACCCCACAGCACCCCCAAAATAAATCTCTGGCGCCGCCACTGAGCCTGACTATTTGTATTGGGGGGGCCCGACTTTTTTATTTCTCCAAAGGGGGGGCCTGACAGAAAAAGTTTGAGAACCACTGGGCTAAATGAATGTTGATCAAATTACCTTTGAACATTTCTAACTTTATTTCAGAGCTCTACTGTATTTACACGGAACAAGTAAAAACCTAACTTTAGCAGTCAGACCATTTTTGATTCCCTGCTCATTACAGCATTTAACACCAGAGGACAGAGACACTGACCTGCTCCTCTACTGCTCTCAAGTGAAAACAAAACATATAGAACGTTGGCACCTGAGCTTTAATCATCTCAAAAAAACATAAACAAATTAATAAATTAAGTAATTTGATACATTTGATAACACAATCATTCTGTTTGACTAACAATGACCAGTGGAGCATGTGTGCATCATGTAAAGTTTTATAGTAAACATTTCTAACAGAAGGGCTTTCTATGAGCTGACCACAGCTCTGATTTATTAGATCTAGCGTTCCAACAACCACTGACTTTGCTGAACAAAAATGAGACTATGGATCTTTGAAAAGAAGAAATACTGTAACAACTGTTCTAATCAGATGCTGAATTGCAACTTAAATAAATGCTAAACAGCACTAGATAGTTTTGTCTTTATCCCATTACTTTCTATAAAGCCTGCAGTGTCGCATTGTTCAGAAAAGGTTACTCAGTCTAGCTTTAAAGGGGAAATCCATTCTCCAAATGTATAAACAAGGCTCAATTTGTGTCCTTGTGATTATATCAGACCATTAATGCATTTCAGTGAGACAACTTACATTTGTAATGTTTATTAGAAGCAGCATTTAGTTTGAGTTTTGTATCTAGGCTCAGGCCTCATCACTCCACAAATGTACATAGAACATTGAGTGATTATTAAATAACAATCCCATGGAGCCTACAGGAGGATGCTGGGGCAGAAGCTGGGGTGGTGGTGGGGCAGGCCCGCAGCAGCGAGGTTGTAAGAGGGGCAGGGCGCTTTAAGTGTAAATGTATCATTGGTGCAGTTGACTGCCTAAACTAGGCAACAGCAGTGGCGGCTGGTGGAAAATATTTTTGGTGGGGCTGTGAAAATGGTGATCAAACAATACTAGAGGGGTCCGGGGGGATGCTCCCCCGGTAATTTTTTTTGAGAAAAGACCCTTTAAATCATGACTTCTGGTGATGTTAGTGTTAGAGGGGGGGGGGGGGGGAGAAGGACAATTTGAGGCTTAAAAATATGAGAAGACTGATCAATACCTCCATAACTTCAGTGTGGTTAGCTATGAATCTTCCAAAACTTCCAAACACCTTGTCCTGGACATAGTTTCTACAGCATAAACTGTGCAACAGTACAGTAGGCCCACACAAACTGCAGAATACCGGGGCTTTGGGAACACTGATTTAATTCCCATTTAACCTGTTAAGGGGCTTTTTTTCACCGTTTTTTTTCTCACGAAACTGTGTCTCAGGGCTTCTTAAAATGTAATAAACTATTCATGTGTCCTACTCAGAGGAAACGCATCTAACTGATGATATGAACCATGTTTACCGAAACAAAACACAAGTCTCACAAGAAGCGTCTAAATGAGCCCTGAGCGAAAAAATGCTAACGCACTCTAGGTATAAATCAATCGATATACTTATCGGATATGCACAAACAAGTTTACAAGCTGAGATTCCACATATTCTAGAAATATAAGTATCATCACTGAGCGATCAGAACTCGCGACAGGGGAAGCAAATACAGACATCACACGACGTAGCTTTAGGTAGCAAAACATGGAGATATGCTCACCTTTTGCAGAATAACAATTCTGATCAAAAACGAGAAAAACGCAGCTGAAGGTTAATCCATAGGTTAATCCAATGTGTCTGTCACTTTGAAAAATGATTGATGATCCATAATTCCATTTTTATGTCAAAAACGGAGTTTTCATTAGCTGTAGCTTCCAGAGTGTATGACAGCTTCCTGTTTTGTCTCCTTGGATACGAGTCCAAACAACTCACAGACTGCACCGGGCGCTCACGTAGGAGCCCTGTGACCATCATATTTGACGACGCTGATTGGCTGAAATTATGTTTTCGCGGCATAGTTTACACGTTACAGATAGCAACAGTCAGCTGCTAGTGGCTGCTGCTGCACTGGTTGAGGGCTCCTCTCTTAGCGCCCAGACGAGAGAAGGTACACGGGCAAGGCCAGGCAGGAAACATGTGACTTATAAGTAACTTTAGACATCGTAACACAATTTTAAACGAGATTTTATTGTAGATTATACATTTTACTGATACCAATTATATAATATTTACCTTGTTCATTAAAAATTTTTTAAAAAAAAATATATTTTTTAAAATATATTTTTTATTTTTATTTTTATTTTTATTTTTTAATATGGGAAGAGGTGGGGCGGCGCCCCTAGCGCCCCTATGGACCGGCCGCCACTGGGCAACAGTCACACACTTTCTGCTTCCTTTTCCATTACAGCATTTAACACCAGAGGACAAACACACTGACTTTTCCCTCTACTGCCCTCAAGTGGCCAAAACATGAACAACAAATACTTTTAGAGATTCAAACCACAAACATGATTTATTCGTATAAATGCACTTTTGAAAATGAAACCTGAATTGTAGTTTTCTCAAACATATATAAATGGAAATCATTTTATATCTGATTTTATTTGATTAACATTTGTTGGTGCAAGTTTATGTTAAGTGAAGATTACTAGTACAAAACATAACAAAGTACTTTTTAAAGCTTCAAACCACAAACATGCTTTCTTCTCAGGAATGCACTTGCAGTTGATGAACTTCTGAACATGGCAAGTGAACGAGTATATTATGATTGATTGTAATTAAATGAAGTTGCAATAGTGGCAGTAGTGTGGGGGGTGGGGAAGACATTGATACTAAATGTGAATGATTATTTATATAATGATTATATAATAAAGGTATAAATGTAATGTGATGTTTGACATTAATATCTTTATGATCAGATATGTGAAAAGCATCTATACAATAATACTTGGCCTGGTTATATGATGTTGATGTAGGACAGATTATTATATTTAACATGTGCACTGTAATTGTTGTGGTGAAAGGTGAGTGGTGACAGTTTGATATGAGTCTTACCCCATGTATTTTAAAAAATACATATATTATAAGGATTGTTTTCATTATTTTATTTTATTTATTGGTTTATAAAGTGTTTGTTCTTCCTGTTCTTATTAGTTTTTTGTCATTATTTTCAACTAAATTATTCATTTTAATTAAATTAACTATAATTGTCATTTATTTTTAATGATGTATTTTTTCTGTATCTTGTTAATTTTCTTAAAAGCCAACTTTTGTAGTTACAAAGAAAAATGCACATATTTATACACATAAAAATACACACACTTTTATATGTTTTCATTCATTTAAGTTTGAGATCATATTCAATCGAATTACCTGTATAAATATATAACATTCATGGAAATGAAGGTTGGTAAAATGACTTCTTTACACACATATAAGTGTACATTCATGTCTTTATTGTGGTCCAAAGCATGTTAACAGACAGAGTAACAGTTTTACAGTGACCTGGTTCAATCAGACATATGTAACATCTCAGTTGCTAAGGACAAGATATGCGAGATGCACAAACTGAGGGATGAGTATTAGAACATGGCAAATCATTCCATTTGTTAACAGGACCATAGTTGGTGTGGACACAGTCTTCAGTTCCTCCAGTGTTGTCTGGCTGTCCTGAACTCCAAGAGACAAACTTGGCTGCACACCCATCAGACCACATCAATCTTCCCTCCTTCTGGGTGTCACTGAGTCCGATCCAGGTCCATCCCTCAGTAGGGTCGTAGTTCTTGATCAGTGATTTGACAAAATTATCTTCCTCTCTACTGTGGATAGACACCAGGTTGGCTCCCTCTGACACACAGTGGAGCTCTGCATCAGCCCAGTCCATGTCTGTGGCGATATACTTGTAGCAGCGGTTGTTGAAGGAGTACCAGAAAGGGCGACAGCTGCCACGCTCAAGCTTCCCTTGAGGGTCATCTGAAGGAGACACAGCACCCAGAGCCAGACCCAACAGGAAGAGGAACAACAGCATGATGATGTCTCTCCGTCACAGGAGCAGGGTGAAGGGTTGGCTGTCGGTTGAGTTTATTTGAAGCGTTCGATGGGATAGAGACTCTGAAGGAGACAGGTGACAGGCTGCTTTTTTATATGCATCAGGGAGGGTGTTTTCACTGTTGGCTTAATATTATTGGTCAACTGAACTTGGCATACTCTGTCTGTTTTACACAACCACACAGTATCTGGACATCAGCTAAAAAACGGCTCAGCTGGCGATGTCACACGAAATCCATCATTTATTTTCAACCAAACCAAATGAAGGTATTAAATAAAACTGTTGGACTGTCAAAAGTGAGACAATATTTAAAGTGTGTTGATATGTCTGTCTCTCAATCACAACAGTGTTATTTCATTTCCATTAGTGAGTGTGTCATAAATCTTGATGTGTGTTGATTAAAAATATTCCAAATGCTAGATACAGTAGGTACTGCTGGGACTTCAACAGCTGTTACACCTGTGCTGTTCCCATACTTATCTAATACACTGAGAGTGACGTGGACAAAAGGCATGGCAACAAACACTTTAAAATATCAACAGGAACAAGCAGGTGATAAATGTGTATAACAAAAAGAATCCATGTTGTTACTGTTCACTGTATCGCTAATTATTTGAATATTACCTTTGTAGTTGCACAATGAACATGAAAAGGAATAATTAATTTATAACATCGTTTTAAAACATTTTATTTAGGACACCACATTACTAGAGTGACTTCTCAACTTAGGCTAAATGAATGTTGATGAAATTACCTTCGCACATTTGCACGAAAATTCCGGAGCTCCAACATACAGAGAGAATAAAACCATTTACACCCTTTTCACAAGGCCTTTCTACGACACTTAGTATGAACAGATCACCGCTCTGATTTATAAGATCTAGCTGTCCAACAATTATTTACTTTCTTTTCTTACAAAAAACGTCTTTAAAACTAAACTATGCATCTTTGATGAGAGTTGAAACATTGAGATTGTCTTTGAGATCCCGTCGACTTTCCTCATTTAATAAATACAATTTGCTCAAAAAAGGAATTCTGGCCCTGTTCATGTGAACTTAAAGTTAAAAAGAAGATAAATACTTTTCATTTCAAACCATTTCTGCTTTATTGTACTATATCTTCCACAGAGCTCAGTGAGACGGTATTTAAAGTGTTTTTGTTATCTTCATTTGTCTATTAACAGATTTCATTTTTAATAGTGAGTTATTTGATAAAAGTTGAGGTTAGTATTCATCCCGACTCACATGTTAGATGTGTAGTGTACGGTTGTCTGGAACTGTTGTTACACCTGTGCTGTTCCCACATTTATCTGATACACAGAGACTGAAAAATACATGGAGACATGTTGTAATAGTTTGAATCAACACAAACAAGCAATTGAAATACAGCATCTGTGGAATGAAAGATGTCCCTGTTTTTACTGTTTTGCTAAGTCTTTGAATATTACATTTGTACTTGCATGATGAATATTAAATGAATGTTATATTATTACATAATGTGAACACATTTAGTGTGAGCCACAACAATACCAGAGTGACTTCCCAACTTAGGCTAAATCAGTGGTTCTCAAAGTGGTAATTAAATAATTAATTAATTTAAAAAAGTATTGATTCGAAAATAATATGATACAGTACAGTACTATTACGTCTGGGTCTCTGTGTTTCATTAAAGCTTGTCTCTGTGTGTGTGTGGAACGAGCCATTTTGTGTGCGCAAGCGAGAGAGAGAGAGAGAGCGCACCGGTACCGGAGATCGTTGTTGTTAGCTTCTGGTGCTAACGAGCTACGCTAACGGATATAAGGAGTTTTTTCAACAACAAAGTGGAGGAGAGTCCTCTCCTGTCAGACTGAGAGACTCAGTGAACTAAAGGACTCTCTCAGTGTTTAGATAGTTAACTTTAGTCTAAGTTATCTCAGTGGGTCTCAAACGTTTTGGTCACCATTAATGTAAACAATTATTTCCGAGGCACACGTTTATATGATCATTATAGTTATAAAGAAATAAGAGAATAAATGAAAAACAGGTATGAAATACTATATGACAGTAAAACAAGAATAAAGTTTAAAAGGGTGATTTGTAAAATATCCATAAAGAAAAAGTCAATCTGTTTACAGTTCTGTTTCATATGGGTGTTGAGAGAGGTATCCATAGATCTCTTCATGTTGCTCTCAAAGTGCACCAGATTGATGCATTTAACTTCAATATTTAAAAAGAAATCTTCCCGGGGGAGTTTGCCACCGGACCCCCCTACGTGAGGTCCACACACCACCTATAAAAATAGCACTTTACCCCTGCTTACACCTATATGCCGTGAGCTGATTATCGAGCCTTCATTGTAACAGTCGCGGGTACATTGTGTATTTGCGCGGGGATTGTTGCAGTAGAAAATTCAACTGTAGCGACCGGTACATTAATGGGAAACCCTAAATGTTTGAGCACCCTCTATGAAACGTCAAGCTACCCCACAGCACCCCCAAAATAAATCTCTGGCGCCGCCACTGAGCCTGACTATTTGTATTGGGGGGGCCCGACTTTTTTATTTCTCCAAAGGGGGGGCCTGATAGAAAAAGTTTGAGAACCACTGGGCTAAATGAATGTTGATCAAATTACCTTTGAACATTTCTAACTTTATTTCAGAGCTCTACTGTATTTACACAGAACAAGTAAAAACCTAACTTTAGCAGTCAGACCCTTTTTGATTCCCTGCTCATTACAGCATTTAACACCAGAGGACAGAGACACTGACCTGCTCCTCTACTGCTCTCAAGTGAAAACAAAACATATAGAACTTTGGCACCTGAGCTTTAATCATCTCAAAAAAACATAAACAAATTACACTGAAAAGTAATTTGATACATTTGATAACACAATCATTCTGTTTGACTAACAATGACCAGTGGAGCATGTGTGCATCATGTAAAGTTTTATCGTAAACATTTTTAACAGAAGGGCTTTCTATGAGCTGACCACAGCTCTGATTTATTAGATCTAGCTTTCCAACAACCACTGACTTTGCTGAACAAAAATGAGACTATGGATCTTTGAAAAGAAGAAATACTGTAACAACTGTTCTAATCAGATGCTGAATTGCAACTTAAATAAATGCTCAAGGTTCAAGGTTCAAGGTTCTATATTGTCAATCTGACATAGCTACAGAGTAATTATGTAGTTATGTAGAAAATCTTATGTCACAGGCTTCTCCAACAATGCAACATAATAACATAATAACAATAAGAGCAAGAGCAATACAAAAAGAAAAATAGTTATAAAATAAAATAAAGTGATGATGTGGAATAGTGCAGTAGAGTCTATATACAAGTTATTGGAATGATATATATATATTAGGTATTAGATACATACTACTGAGTAGCAGATGAATGTTTGAAGTTGTTTCAACAGTTCAATTTTTTAACAGTCTCACTGCCCGCGGGAAGAAACTGTCTCCGAATCTTCTTGTCCTTGCCAGGATGCTGCGGTAACGTCTGCCAGACGGCAACAGAAAGAACAGTTTGTGGCTGGGGTGATGGGGGTCTTTGATAATCCGTAGTGATTTCTTCCTGAGCCGCTGGGAGTAAAGGTCCTCCATGGATGGCAGCTCCGTCCTGGTGATGTGCTGTGCAGTTTTCACCACCCTCTGTAAAGCCTTACGATCGAGGTCGGTGCAGCTGCCGTACCAGGCCGTCATGCTGCCAGTGAGGATACTCTCTATCGTGCACCTGTAGAAGTTGCAGAGTATCCTGGAATCCATTTTGAACCTCCTCAACCTGCGGAGGAAGAAGAGCCGCTGTCGAGCTTTCTTGGTGATGGTGGTGGTGTGAAGAGACCATGTCAGGTCCTCAGTGATGTGGACCCCAAGGAACCTGAAGCTTTTGACTCTCTCCACCGTAGTCCCATTGATGGCGATGGGGGCGTGTCCCTCTCCCTGCTGCTTCCTGTAATCCACAATCAGCTCCTTGGTTTTGCTGATGTTGAGATGGAGGTTGTTATCCTGGCACCAAGATGTCAGATTTTCGACCTCCTCTCTGTACGCCGTCTCGACATCGTCTGTGATCTGGCCGATGACGGTCGTGTCATCAGCAAACTTCACGATGGTGTTGGAGCTGTGTGTGGCCATGCAGTCGTGGGTGAACAGGGAGTAGAGGAGAGGGCTGAGCACGCAGCCTTGAGGGGCACCGGTGTTTAGAATCAGGGTGGAGGATGTGATGTTTCCCACCCGCACTGCCTGGGGTCTGCCCGTCAGGAAGTTCAGGATCCAGTCACAGAGGGCGCTGTTGAGCCCGAGGTCTCTGAGCTTGATGGCCAGCTTGGAGGGCACAATGGTATTGAATGCTGAACTGTAGTCAATGAACAGCATTCTCACATATGTGTTCCTGTTCTTCGGGTCCAGGTGTGAGAGGGCAGTGTGGAGGGTGAGGGCTATGGCGTCGTCTGTGGACCTGTTTGCTCTGTAGGCAAACTGCAGGGGGTCCAGAGATTCAGGGAGGGAGGAGGTGATGAATGATTTGACTAACCGCTCAAAGCACTTCATTGTGGTGGAGGTGAGTGCTACTGGGCGGTAGTCGTTGGGGCAGGTGATGATTGTCTTTTTCGGGACAGGAACGATAGTGGAATGTTTGAAGCATGTGGGGACTACAGACTGCAGCAGGGACCTGTTGAAGATGTCTGTGAACACCTCTGCCAGCTGAACTGCACACACCCTGAGAACACGGCCAGGGATGCCATCAGGTCCAGGAGCCTTGTGTGGGTTAACCCTTTTAAAGGATTTACACACATCTGCCCTATTTAAAACAAAAGGGCAGGGCTCTTGGTCCCTCTGTACCTCCACAGCCCGGCTGCTCTCAAAGCGTGCAAAAAAACTGTTCAGCTCATCTGGGAGAGATGCGCACGCAGACACTCCCGCAGCACCCCCCGCTGCTCCTTTGTAGTCAGTCATTGTCCTTAGTCCCGCCCACATATTCCTAGTGTTACAGCCTTTGAAGTCAGATTCCACCTTCTCTTTGTACTGTCTCTTTGCATTTTTAATTGCTCTCCGGAGATCATAC